TTAAACTTAAGGATTCCATCGAGTGGTGTCGGGTAAGTTGGTGTGTTATAACTTTGCTTTTCTCGAACGCATGGTTTTTCAGTGTTCAAATTGATTATATGTGCTAAGAACATTAACAGGATTGAAACTGATGGTTTAAGAGTGCATTTAAAGCATGATATTGCGTGAAAAAGTTTACGTAAGCTTTCTGATATTACAGCAATGTATTTTAGAATAACGCCGCTGTAGTTCGCTGATTGTTCTACTCGTCATTCCGGCTCCAGCTTGCATGAATTCCGACACTACTGCTTTATACATTTATTATGCGTTTTTATGCAATTGTAAATGATGTTTTTTATGTGTCTATACAAAAATAATAAATTATTTACAGTATAATTTTTCCCCAATGTAAATAGATGAAGTCGTATATCAAGTCGAATCTTATCAGCTTCACTTTGAAAAGTCAAAAATGTGCACTTGTTCGCTTGTTAACAATTGAAGTTAACTTAGTTTCTTATAGAACAGTCAGTCTGACAGTTCAAATAATTGCCCAAGGATGTGTTGACATCGTCAGGTCCTGCCAGGTTTCCTTCTAGTTTTGTGGATTCATTTGAATCGGAAAAATTCCCTGTCTGAAAGATGGTCAAGGATCGTCTGAACGAGTTCCAGACTCTCTCAGGCAAAACGAAGTCGAACCATCACAGATACGATCCCCGCTTATCAGCAGAGACATCCAAGCTTCTACATGATGGGGAGACTTCGCTAGAGGGCTTCCTAAACCGTATGACTGAGCTGCGGAACATCGTGAATCAGCTGGAGTCATGGCTGGAAGAGGCTCGCATACTACATGGAGAACTTTTGCTCGCACCAGTTTCTGACGCAGAGAAATCACGACAGTTGCGAGTCATCATGGAAAACTTTCGCACAACGTCTTTAGTTGCACGACAAATGATAAAGAGTATAGACAAGGAAGTGAACAGCAAATCGCATCCCGACGAGTCGAAGTCAGTGGATTTTCGCATTAAAGGAAGTCAAGTCCGCATGCTTACACAAGCCCTTCTCAATGTGATATGGAAGTTCAACGAAGAAGAGGAGAATTATAAGGAACGTTGCATGAAGAAAATCACTGATTATCTAAAGATCCAGGATATCAAGTTGACGGATGACGAAATAAGCGATGCTATTGACAACGGCGATATCTTCGAAAGGACGAAAGGTATCCTTCTTGCATACAGAGACAAAAAAGCACTCTTCGAGGATGTCAAAGCACGACGTGATGAATTGTTCGAAATCGAGAAGGTTATCCGAGAATTGAGCGAGATGGTTGTGGATCTCAACAATCTTGTATTGAGTCAGGGAGAAATGCTTGACCGGATTGAGACGAATATCGGAGATGCTGTGGATTACGCGGAGAAAGGGAGGCAGAATGTCGAGGATGCTCGTGAGCTGAAGAAGAAAGCACGAAAGAAGAAGATCATAATTTGCGTAGTTCTTGCCATACTGGTTCTCATTTTGATTATTTTCTTGCAAGCAATGATATGCCATTTTACTCCGATCTGCTAGTTGCTATTTCATTTGTTCATTTGATGAATCCAAGAACTGTTATGTTTTTATCCCAGCTTTATCGTAACGGTCCTTTATGCTCATCCTAATTCTCCTCCAGTTGTGACTGTACGTTGTCGTTTATGTATATTTATATGATAGATCTCAGGTGCATACTTTACATCCACTGCTATCAGCCTTTTCTATCCCGATTGTGCCTAGTGGTTCTGGACCTCATCATCCAGAATTATCATAAATATTAATTTCCGCTATTTTTCGTATTCACGCCTGTATGGTGTCATCAACATTATTAACCGAGTACTTAGAGCTGTCACAGTTTGAAGTCTGTGAAGTCTACGAGTAAGCTAGTCTCAGGATACGAGTAAGCTAGTCTCAGGACTTGATTTCATTACCCTT